CAGCAACTCTGATGAAGATGAGTCCAGCTACAGGTAGGTGACCTGATGCAGCCAGGACAACCTAGAGCTAAACGCTCGAAAGAAAGTAGAGCTGGTAGTGGACTTACCGAGCCCCATCAGGACCAAAACCTCACATCACAAGAACAGTTTCTTTCAATCTGCACCTGGCCTCATCAACAAGTCCTGGGACCCCTACTGACACTGACTCATATACCCCCACCCCTACAGATTACATTAATGTTACATGGTAAAGTTATCTATTGTCTTTTATTGTCTTTATAAGATTCTTTCATATATTATTGTTAATCTTCTATTTTTGCTTCTTGACGTGCAGTACTTGCTTTTATCATTATTCATATTTTGCACGTACTATGTTTATGTTCGGTTTTACTTTACTGGGATCCAAATGAGCAAATAGCCCTAATCGATAGAGACTCCATTCAGAAATTGTAAAAGTTGTTTGCTTGTCATCTTGCAGACAGACAATGAATTCAGACTTTTTACAAATTGGCATCATGATGTAGTTTAATGAACACCATTTCCCATAAGTCATAGGCATGTTAAATGCCACAGCTCTCCCTTCACGCTGTTAAAAGTATCTCTTCCTACAGTTCAGACATCTTCACATCCAGCTGTAACTTCCATAAATCCCACCACAAACACCTTATCTGACTGTTAGTCATGTTCTGATTCACTGTCAGCAGCAGAGTTCATCCACCTGCATGAACATCAATCTGATAAGTCTTTATCTAAATATTGTCTTATCAACTTTCCTTTGGACGTTGAGAGTCGTCCTTTCATCTGGCAGCTGGGTGTCTCTGCCTCCTGATAACGGCTGAATGAGCAGTAAATGATGCCTTCATGGTCACATTATCTCCAGCTCTCTTTGATCTGAATGTCAATGAGCGTCTTTTTCTTCTTCTGATGAGTCCAACAGAGGCAGCACGTGCTCTGAGCACCTGGAGGCTGAACTTTGAAGAACAGCAGAAATTCAAGCAGCTGAGGAGGTTGAACGTCACAACACCAAGAAAAAAAGAACAAATCTTCCTCTCAGCCTGGAAAGCCACCATGATGCTGAGCGAGGAGAAAGGAAGACTTTGTGTATACTTCAAAATAAGAGCATATACTGTTAATATTTGTCTATCTCTGCAGCAGCTTTCAAGTTGACTTCATAGAAATGAAGTGAAACCAATGGCTGCCTGGAAGGAAGGAAGTTAATCTTAAAACTAATGAAAATAATCAGCAGGATTGCTTCTCAATTGACTACAACATGTGAAAACAACAAAATGCTTCTTCAATCTTTAAGGGCCTCTCAAGATCTTCTTTTCTGAGACCAGCAACAAACTTTTTCACCTCTACTTCATCAGTGCCTAACTACCTTGTTGACCTCTGACCTCTAAAGCATGCACAAACCCCCCCGTCCAACCAATCATCAACCCTCAGCCTCTGAAGATAACGCTGAGGCTAAAAAAACAGAGCAACCCTGGAAAGCTGCTCTCCATTACAGCAACACAGCGGCGAGTCCCAGCACAAAGAGCTCCGTTTGTGAACGATGTCATTAAAGCAGCGTTTAAAGTTGGGGGGGTCAACGTTGAGGAGTTGGGTATTTGAGCTAATGGAGGGTTGTTTTGTTAAGAGCCCTCAGCGATCATTTTATCAGGGAATCTGTGGATGGGTCCTGCAGTTTAATGTATGGATGTGGGTCAGAATAATGACGAAGGCCTGTATGAGCGCGCTCCAAAAAAATGTCACCCGAGACATTTAATCCTCTTATTTAGTCTGTCACACATCTCACCGCTTCCAAACGCATTTTTAAAAACTACAGCAAATCAGTCCACTTCTGATCTGGGGGAATGTGATAGATTCCTTTTTTCAGTAGGAAAAGGACAAATGGAAAATGCACACATTTTTTATCTTTATGCATTGCACAGTGGTGTTTTATGCCAAGTTCATACTACATGACTTTAGCCCTAATTTTCTACTCGGCAACAGTTTTTGGAGCTCACTGACAAATGCCCTCAAATGGCAAATTGGCGCTCACTTCTGTGGGGATGATCGCTATGTGTGTACTGTTCGAAGACGTGACCCTAAGACTTCGATGGGATCTCACCGATGCCCGAAAAATATCTAGCTGGCTAAATGGAGCCCCTGCAATGAGCTACAGCCAACGAGACCTGGGTACCCTCGTAGGTACTTTAGTAATGACCAAAAAAACTCATCAAATACTTATTGACACATAATGGATTGTTAACAATGTTATGTTCAATTTAAGGTGTATCTGATCCACCAACCAACACTTCTTTATTTTTGAAACAGCTCTTATTCCC